CTGTTACCCCTTTTTTACTGTGCATCTCCTTCCAGTTAGCCTAGAGTTGGTTTATTCTGATTTTATGGATAGGTACCTAACTGCCACTAGCTTATACAACATGATTAGGATAACACAGCTCAGAGGTTATGAAATCAGGATTTATACCTTTACTTGATTTTAAGTCCAGTGCTCATTCTTTGGAATGCTTCCTGTAATTACAATCACAGAGGCTTCAGATATGAAAAAAAAAGAGTATCTTCCTGGTTGGATATTGCTCCTGTGTCTTTAGTCTTTATCTACATGAGTAAGCAGCAGTACCTGGACTTTTCCAGCTGTCTTGAGTAACAACATAACTAAGTAGTATTCATTGATGTCTTCTTGTTTAATGCTACCTTACCTGAAAAGGATTAGAAAAAAAAATAAAGGAATAAAAATATATTAGTTATGACATTAAAATATGTGACTTACACTCTTATACTTCAAAATAAAGACTCAGCCTAGGGACAAGTGTTGCAGCACAACAGGTTAAGTAACTGCTTGGGACACTCACATCCCATGTTAGAGTGTCTGGGTTCAAGTCCCACCTTGGCTTTCCAACCAGCTTCCTGCTAATGTACATCCTGGGATGCATCAGATGATGGCTCAAGTTCTTTGGTCCCTGCCACCCACATGGGAGTGCAGGAGGGAGTTCCTGGCTCCAGGCTTCTGCATGAATCAGCCCTAGTTGTTGTAGGCATTTGGGGACTAAATTGGTAGTTGGAAAATCTCTCTCTCCCTCTCTCCCTCTCTCTCCTTCTCCTTCTCCCTCTCTCTCTCTATAACTGTGACTTTTAAATAAATGAAATATATATAATGAGCCTATAAAAGGTCCCAAATTCCTAGGCAGTTTCTATTTTAGACCCACTTTCAGTACATCTACCCTTGAGACAGTTAGCTGTAATCAGAGGCAGAGTGACACTGTATTAACAAAACAACACTGGCGACATAGGGGAATAATGGAGAACTCCTAAAGCAGTGATGCTGGTAGGCAAGTCCTTAAGCTTCACTTTGGATTCCCTGGCAATTGGGATGGTACAAATTCAGGGGTTGCTCTTATTGACCTTGGAATCCCCATCCTGTGTTTTTATGGTCTCATGATCAGCATTCCCTACACAGTATTTAATCACAAAAATGGGTTCCTTCAGAATGGCCAGGGAGCACCACTTTTATCAGGAAAGGCCAGATGCAGGGCTGTTACACAGCTGGCAGTAAGATTGACCCAACGTGGCAACATGACCACACCTCACCAGGAATCCAAGGAATGCCACACAAGCAAACGTGGACACATTCCCCTCTGTCTAGATGTGGAATTCCTTTATCTGAGGATGGGCATCCTGTCTCCCACCCCAAACACACACACACACACACACACACACACACACATACCATTTCCACATATGAAGACTCTGCCTTCTTTACGCGGTAGCTTTTGGTCAGTTCAGTGACCAGCAACCTCTACCTGCCTACCAAACCTGCCGCCTGCCTCACTGACTTTACTTCCTCCTGCTAATATTACATCTCCCACCACCCAGGCAGTTCATGTATCATCTCCGTATAAAAGGCTCAAGCCCCTCTCACTTTGTAACTAATTATCATAATTTAGTAATTCTTTATGTCTACTTTGTGGCTAAGTATATAGAACTTATTGTGCATTATTGGTTAAATCTCATTAATCATGTGCTGTATTTTTACAAATACCAGTTTCCATTGCAGACTCAAATAATTATGATAGGTAGACTAATAATGAAATATTTCAGTTTCATTTCATTCCCTTTATTTTTGAAGTATTTTGAGGAAATTATTTGAATAGTCCAATTTCTTATCTAGAAAGTTGTAGAGGCATTCTGGAGCATACACCTTTGCTATCGTTTGCATATAGAACAGGTAGACTTTACTATCCTATCTACAGGTTAAAACAATATATTGCCTTCACTTATCCGCTTGTGCCACTAGGTGGTGCACATATATGTTAGTGAACTGTAGGTTAAATGGACTTGTCACAAGGTTAGATTTACTTAATCTCCACAGGGTAATACAAAAGAGCTGTAAGAGTCTGGGTGACATAGCGACTCTAGAGGCAAAAGTAAAAGAGAGGTATTGCTGACAGCAGATATGGTGGGAGAAAAAACCTAAAGGCAAGAAACCTTAAAGATGTGGCAGAGGAGGTCTTAATGAGGAAGGAATGAGTGCACCATTCATGCTGATCCATTGCTAGTTAACAAAGTCAATGCACGTTGAACAAGTTGACATCAAACACTCCTTCCAGATCTTTGCTCAGGACACTGGAGGCACAGAGATCAATGGCACAGCCTTGTCCCCAAGTGAGAGGGACCGGAAACAGACAAGACAAAATGCATGATAGAAAAGATAGGTTTTACAAGATGCACTGGAAAAACGAGTATGAAATACTGGTTCTGTTCTGAGGAAGGGAGAGAAGGGGATGGTGTGCAACGACTGTTATGGAGATCTTGAGAGGTGAGGAGGGATTCCCCAGGAAGATGACAAGAGAATGGGCAGAGTTCAGCATAAGCATAGGCAGAGGTTTGAAAGGATAACGTGGATTTGGGATTAGTTCAGCTGAGTTCAACAAGGCTACTCTAGGCCATACACCGATACAACTGAGATGAATAATAAAAATTCTAGGCCCTTAATTAATAGATGTTCTAATCATCTTAAGATGCTTCTTATCTGGTGAGGAAGACTCACACATACACAGGAAATTGCAATTTGAGAGGATATCTTAAATATGGTCCCTTTTAAATTCTGATTCTGTCATTGGACCCCACCCCCTCCTCACCCCCAACCTCCCACCGTGTCCTGGCTCCAGGGATTCTCAGAGAACTCCTTACACCAGAAGAGAGAGCCCACAAGGGCAGAAGCTGTTGCATTTGGCTCAGTGTCCCTGATGTATTTCAGCCTCACTTGTTCGTTTTAGAGTTGTAAACTTTGAGGCCATTCAGCAAGTTACACAAAGCCACACCGAGGAGCCAGGACACAAGCCCAAACCTGTCTGACTCCTAAGAGGTTTTCATGCATTTTTTTCTCTACTGGACTCTGGGCACAGAGTCACCAGTTAGCAACATCTTGATTTGGAAACAGACACTTTGCAGGTAAAACAGACCTCCTTCTGCAGCTGTGATCAACACAAAGTCAAGGTTATGGAAAAATAAGAACACAATAGACTCTTCCCTAATGCATGAGGAAAGTGCCAAGCCACACAGGTTGGCCTTGGCAAAGGCAGCTGGAGCCAATTTTCCCACTGGCCCAGCTCCATGTTTGGGAGGGAAGGGGATCTGGTTCCAGCATTCCTTCTCAGCAGCGTGAGTTTGTGTTTCATTTCAGCAGAAGAATGTGTGCTCCCTATGTAGATCAATGACATCTTGGAGTTGCATTGTTTGCTTGAAAATGTCAAGTGGAATGAGTTACAAGCTGGCAGGAAAATAGGGATGTGTGATGATGGGGCCCTAAAAGGATACAGACTTGCTTTTAGGCCCATGAGAAGTCACAGAAGCAAGGGGTAGAGGGATCTTATAGAGGATTTGACTGGGGCACATCAAAGTTAAATGGAGGAGGAGACTGACAAGGAGGTAAAGGCAGGTGAGGTGGAATATGGCCAAGAGAGTCACAGGATGAAATACCAAGTGATGAGAAACTCCTACTTTTTGTATCCTGGAAAAATGATTCTCAATGTGGAGTTTTTTGTACCCCTTTTAAGAAAAAAAATCATACAGAACTGCAGACTGTTTACAGAAACACAAATGTAGATAAAAGAAAGAGAACAGCAGGAAGAGAAATTTAAAAAATCTTTAAGGGAGCCCTTCACCACTCTGTATCCATAGCCTCTTAAACCCATTTCTGTACACTCAGGTTCCCGTGGCATGCACTGAAGGACAGAGCTTCCCAGAGGTATACTGCCACAGGGGGACAGCCACCCTGCTGAGCTGTTGATCATCTCAGGCCTTGGAGAGCCAAGGCCATTTGCTCCCAAACACAAAGGGCTTCATCCATATAGCCCAGTGGCCTAGAAAAATGTTGTTATGTGTGGATGATTTGTGATTCAAAAGGATAAGGATTCAGTTAGAGAAGGAGTTTCTTTTGTTTGTTTGTTTTGTTTTTTGACAGGCAGAGTGAACAGTGAGAGAGAGAGAGAAAGGTCTTCCTTTGCCGTTGGTTGACCCTCCAATGGCTGCAGCAGCTGCACACCGCGCTGATCAGAAGCCAGGAGCCAGATGCTTCTCCTGGTCTCCTATGCGGGTGCAGGGCCCAAGCACTTGGGCCATCCTCCACTGCCTTCCCAGGCCACAGCAGAGAGCTGGACTGGAAGAGGAGCAACTGGGACAGAATCCGGCGCCCCGACCAGGACTAGAACCCAGTGTGCCAGCGCAGCAGGCGGAGGATTAGCCTATTAAGCCGTGGCGCCAGCCAGGAGTGGTTTGATCACCACTCTTTGAGATTTTCGTAGCCTTGCTTAGCAGGCTTAAGAAATAAAACAGTCCAAAGTATCCAGGTTAGGAAGGAAGACCTAGACAGTGATGGTAACACATGTACCCAAGTCAAAGAGAGCTTCCAGGATATAAGACATCCATCCAGTGCAAAGACAAAGCTCAGGGACTCTGGTACAGGAGAAGGGGCCTACCCTACGGCAGGGTGGCTGAAGAGGGACTTTCTCTGTGGCTCTCAGTGAGTCACATTCCTCTCAGGGCCTCACTTTCTGTTGGTATGTTACAGGTCTGACTGGAAGACCTTCAAGGCTCTCAGCTCTTACCATCAAAGCTTCCAAAGACAAACAAAAGGGTCGTCCATTCCCCGTTGTCTGCAGTGTGCAAGTCCCCTCTACAGAGTTACGGGAGCACCACGTTCTGTTCAGTTTGCCCTGCTCTGTGGGTCCAAGCATCCATTTTGCTTGCTCTCCCTGACCTGCTCCGTAAGTTTGGCTCTGGCTCAAGTCAGCACTCTCACGTATGTGTTTTCTTTTGCAGCAACAGCGGCGGCTTGATCTCCTGACAATAACCAGCCCTGGTGAGTAGGTGCGGCCGTTCGCTTTGGCTTCGCGGTGATTCCCTGTAGCCATGCCTTGTTGCCCATCAAATGCAGTGCCTGCCCTCCTCCGCTGACTCCCTGAATGAAGAGCAGAACCCGTGCACCGTGAATGACCCTTCTCCCCTACCCTCTGCCCCATGGCACTTCCTCTTCTCCCCCTCTGCTCTGTGCTGTGTCCTCTTGACTCTGCCAGTGACAAGGCCAATACTGTAATGTCACCCCATACCTCAGGGGCAAGTTCTCCCTAAATCACTCTTGGAATCCAGAACAATGAGGAAACCGGTGAGAGGGTGCCATGGGATGAAGGGAAGGTGGCCCAGGAGGAAGAATCTAGTCTGGGAAAGCGACCAGATTGGGTTGGCTGTGTTGAAGTCTAGATGACTTTTGTCCCTCAAGTCATCACCCAACAAATCCACGTGGCCATGGGATTAAAAGATCCTTTCTTTCCACCAGGCCTGACATCTAGCCTGGTGAGAGGTAAAGCGGTTTAATTTTGTCAGAGGTATTTTACTATGTTATGTAAGCTTGAGGCAGTAGGAGATTACGTTCTCTTTCAGAACTAAGGGGATGATGATAGCACTAGTAGGGTTAGAGAGCATTCGAGAATGAGTGGAGTGGTTCGTCTTCATCCATGGGCAATACTCACAATACTTAACTGCTCCAGTGACTACTGGTTGTGCGGGGCCTTAACACTTTGGCTACTAGACTGCGGGGAGAAGGGTCCTGAGGGAGCAGCTAGTGTGGCAGAGGGGTTACAGGGACTATTTGCCAATTCTGGGTCAGAATTTCCCAAAAGGGAAATTTCCCAGCATACTACAGAATTTCCCAGCATACTATAGATGGGCTATACTTGTGGGATAGTGTGAACTGTTCATCCACTTAGCCCTCTGGGGCACAGATAGGCCCCGGGGCAGCTGGAGCCCCTAAGTGTGTAGCCTCCCCTCCAGTGTGCCAGACAAATATTATCCGTGTGTACCGTAACTTGGAAAATTCAGGAAGTACCATTAGACCTTGTAGTAGTGGATAACTCTATTCCATGTCATGAACACTTCCAACTACTTGCCTCTATCAGATGCACCCCCATTTCCCACATCACCAGGAGGTGCAACAGTTTCAGTAAGCTCACTTTCTCTCTGCATCTGCCAGTGGGAGGCTCTGGCTTCCTTGTGCTCCTCACCAGCCCATGCTCAACACAGACAGCACTGTGGCCTGGTGCTGCCACTCCTCACACCCTAGGCACCTCTGAAATGCCAACTGGAAATCTGGAAGCCTTAACAATCTATGTGCTGTCTTCTTTAAAATCTTCCTTTGTTTATTGTGAATAGTTTCAAATATACAAAAAAAGGAGTACAGAGATGGTGAGTAGCCATTTATACCTTGGCTTTATCATATCAGCATCGCACCATTTGTGCCAGAGTCCCCTATTTTAAAATTATGTATGTGGATAAAATTGGGACTTTTCTGTTCTCTGATTGTATCACTCTCCCTTCACTCTTTAGGTAACCACTGAAATAAATTCAATGTTTTCCCATATGTATGTATCCAAAAATATAACTAGTATTTTTTCACAGATCCCTATAAATTATTCCTATAAATGCCATTCTGTGACTCTTTTCCCCAGTCAATATTATATTGTAAAACTGCATTCATGGCAAGCCACAAAACTCTGGTTCATTCCTTTTTATTGCTGCATAGTATTTAATATATGATAGGATTATAAGTTGACCACTTTATTTGTCATAATTTAGCTTATCTCTAGTGTTCAATTGCAAACAATGTTATCAAGAGCAACTCTGCACGTGAGAATTTTTCTAGGACCCAGAACTAGGAGAGAAATCACTCGTTACATTCATCTTCAAATGGTCACTTGTTTTCTAAAGTAGTTGAGCAAATTTACACTTCCGACAGTAGAATATAGGAGTTTCCATGTCTGTGCATGCTCCATACTTGGAATTGTGAGCCTTACAAATTTTCCCAGTTGGAATGTAAATGTGAATGATACTCCTTTGTTATTATAATATGTGTTTCCCTGATTACTAATGAGGTTGAGTATTCTTTTGTTTGTTTATTGGCACTTTGGTTTCCTCTGTGAATTGAATTTTCATATCCTTTATCCCATTTTAAAAATTGACTTGCTATTCTGAATATCAATAATTTGTCATTGATATGCATTGCAAATATCTTCTCCCAGAGTGCAATATGCATTTTTTGTTCATGATGAATTTTGCTATATGAAAGATTTAAAAATTTTTGGTATAGCTGAGTTATCAGTCTGTTGCTTCATGGGCTTTACTTTTGTGATTTATTTAGGAATTTCCTTCCAACCTGGCTGTCATATTCTCCTGTATTTCTAAAATTCGTCAAGTTTTGTGTAACAGTTGACTCTTTCCTTTGTCTTATGTAGGACTAATATTTATGTGTAAGATAGGAACTTAATTTTTTGTTGTTTATTTGTTTACAGCTGGATAGTGCATTTTCTCAGCACCATATAACACTAGTCCATCCTCTCCTGATCTATCAGCAATTACATGTCTGCCACATGTCAAATTTCCTATTTACAGATATTTCTGAGCTCTCTTTATACTATTCCATTGGCCTACCACTTTTACATGCCTCTACACTGATTCCACAATCTGCTTATCTTACTTTTAATATCATCATACTTGGAAATGTCATTCCCCTTTCATTTTTATGCTTATTTTTTAAAAGTAACAATTGTATTTTTAAAGTACAACCTAATAATTTCTATATTGTGGCAAGTGAATTTAATCTGTTCATATTTAGTGTAATAACTGATATATTGAACATATTTCTACCACCATATTTGTGCTTTCTGCTTATCATTCATTTTCTTTATTTCTTTCTCTTATCATGACTTTTTGGGTATTGGTTAACTTTGTTATGTTATCTACTTCTTATTCTCTCTGCATATTTAGATGCAATGTATTTTATTTCTGTATACTGGCCTATATGTTTTATACAGTTATTCAGAATGTCTATCATCCTTTCAGCCACAAAAAAAAAAAAAAAAAAAAAAAAGCCTTAGCATGCTTCAGCCACCTATACACCTAGCCATTGCCCATAACTGCCTACTTATTTTATTTGGACTTTAAGTTAAACCTTTACAAAGAAGAACAATGTATTATTATTATTCCAACATAGATCATGAATTTCTGTGTTCTGTTGTTTATCATATCTCCAGCTTTTCCTATTTATTTTACTAAAGTGTATCCTTTAATAGCTATTTTAGTGACAGTACATGGGTAACCCTCTTTATCTATTTTGGACCTTCTCCAGAATGAGTTTGGCTAGATAGGAATTCTAGTTTGAGGGGGGCTTTCCATTGCACTTTGGAGATTTTTTTCCTTTGTCTTCTGGCATCCATAGAAGTCTGCCATTATATAATTGCTTTTTGTAACCTAATTTTTCTTGGGTAGGTTTCAAGATTTTTTAAAAAATATTACTCTTCTGCCTTTTCACTTTGATGTGTCTAGGTATCAATTCTTTTTTTTTTTTTTTTTTTTAACTGTGCTTGGTACTGTGATAGACTTCCCACCTAAGTATCTATGCCTGTCTTTATTTCTGGGAAATTATTGGAAAATTATCTCTTCAAATATCTCTTTTCCGTATTCTTTTGATTCTCACAAGAATTCCTAATAGACAAATGTTGGGTCCTACCAAGGGGCCCACCTTGGTTCTTAACTATTTTTCATAATTTTTATCATTTGTCTTACTGCACTGATTCTGGTTCCTCACAAGTAACTTGCATTCACAAATTTGCTTCTTGCCCATGTCTAGTCTAGATTTTTTTCTCTTTTTCAATATTTCAATGACTATGTTTTTCATTCCCAAGAGTTCTAATTTTGTTCATATCCACCTGTTCTTGTTTTATTTCTGCCTATTCTGTTTCATAATTTCTTGTTCTGTTTTAATGTCTTCATTTGTTTCTTTGAACATCCTCAATATACTTATTTTAAAATTTTTGTTCTATAAAATAAATTTCATCTGGAGGGAATTCAATTTCCAATGGTTGGTTTTGTTTAGGATCATTTTTAGCATTCAGCTTCTTCGTGTGTTTTGAAATTTTAATTTCAGGATCACTTTGAGAAGGAAGTTTTTTCTGGTTGTCTTTCCACAGTCTCAAAACTCCCATTGTGCTCACCTCTCCCTCTGTGATGGTTTTTGCAATCGTCCCTGCCCACATCTTCTGTTTAGGACCTGATGAATATTGGGGATGGAGTATGGTCATAGATCCAATGACAAAATGTTAGCAGAATGGCTTAGCACTGCTTATAATTCCTGAATCTTTATACCTCACTCCCAGTCTGTGATGCATAGGAGCTGTCTCCCCGAAGTTGTGCAACCACTTTCTTTCCTGGGATCTCTTCATGACTGGGAAGGCCCACCCAAAGTTCTTGCTCTAAGCAGAAGCTTGTCTATGATCCTCATCTTCTTGAGTTTCCCTTATCTCATAGAAGGCATACATTCAATTGCTACTGCCTCCTGCTTCATCCAGATTTCAGCAAGCCAGTAGCCTCAGAACCACTTACCATTTTGCATTTCTGTACATTTCAGCTTTTTGGTGATATGTCTTTCACAATGGAGACAAATATATTACAGAGTTACAGAGAGAGAGGAAAAGTTACATAGGTTCATTCCCCAAATGGCCACAACAGCCAGGGCTGGGCCAGTCCAAAGCCAGGAACCAGGAGCTTCTTCTGGGTCTCCCACATGGGTGCAGAGCCTCTAGCACTTGGGCCAACTTCCACTGCCTTCCCAGGTGCATTGCAGAGAGCTGGATTGGAAGTGGAGCAGCTGGTACTTCAGCTGGCACACAAATGGGCTGCCAGTGTTGGAGGTAGCAGCCTAACTTGGTATGCTGCAACTCAGTACCCTACAGTGCATTCTAATTTCAAAAGCTTAAGAAACAAAGATTTCTTTGGCACATGTCCCTCATGGATTGCAGTCAACTCTACTCT